ACTTTTGTAACCCAGTCATGGGCAATACGTGGCAAGTGTTAGAATAAGTAAGGTGAGAATAAGAGAGAGCATATGACCATAATAAAAGCTATCTCTGATGCACTCCAAAAGTTAATCTTGGTAGAGTCCCAGGGGATAAAAAAACAATAGGGAGATCAGCCACCACTTTCATGGAGTTGGAACTTCGGTTATACAGAAAACAAATTTGTCTTAACATTTTGTATCAGAGAGAAGAACTACCTATCAGGGTTTAGGGGACTTCCTGTCATGCTTTTAGTGTCTGGAAGTAAATTCTGAAGCTCAAAACTCACCTGTTCTCTTGCATTATTTTTCTAATGTTCTTATCAACCTCAGTTACCCCAGCCTAGGTGAAACCGGCCACAGGCACACTGCCCTTCAAAAGGCAGCTCACCTTCCAGTCACCCTCTGCACTGAAACCTAGATTCTCTCTCTTTTCTACCTCTCATAACTATATATATTTCACTAGTTGCCAAACTAGAACCATCTACCTATTCGCAAAACAGGCAGCACAGACTCACATCTTATTTGTTAGATCTAGGAGATAAGGAAGCATCAGTTCATGTTGGTACAAATATTTTTAATATCTAACTTCCTTCTCAGTCATATTTTTTCCCTTGTCAGGAAAGCACTAACTACTTCTATTCAGAATACATCAACTGGAAGGCCCTGGTGGCTCACACTGGTAATCCTAGCTACTCAGGAAGCTGAATTCTGCAGATTGCCATTCAAAGTCAGCCTGGGCAGACAAAGCAGTAAAAACCCTTACCTTTACTTAGCCAGCAGAAAGCCCAAGTTGAGGTAGAGCACCAGTCTTGAGCAAAAAAAGCCAAGTAACAGTGCAAGGGCCTGAGTTCAAGACACAAAACCAAAACCAAAGCATACACACACACACACACACACACACACAAATATATTTATAGAGTTCTTAACAGCAAGTGCAGATGTAATTGGTGAGTGAAGGTTATTTCACACTAAATCATTTGGAAATGTCATGATTCATTTATTCAGACACATCCCTTATTTCCTACCTAGAAAAATGAAAGAAAGAACAATACAAACTAGAATTCTTATTGGCTACTGGCATTGAGCACCTTCATTTCTGAGACCTAGACACTTAAGTCCTTCTAGGGACCCCAGCAGAGTTGTAAAGACCAGTGCTGATGAGGTCTCTATACTCTTCCCCCTTATCCACACAGTGCCTAGAGAGACTTCTGAACACTCAGAGGCCCTATAAACTATAGCTTATAAAGAAAGAACTGCCCTTGACCATTCTTTCAGCCCTTCCTGAGGCCAGCCCTTCCTTTCTGGCATTTCCTGTATTGCCTAAGTGACGTATTACAGAATCGGTAATGCATAAAAAAAGACAATGTGACACAGTACAATATGGGGTCAAATTCTTCGCTGAGATTTTGATAGTTACTAATTAAGACTCTAGCATTATGTGAAGAAAGACATTAGAGGGTGGGAAAATGTGGTGCAATTAATAAAGATAAGCTAATAAAGCTTCTTATAGGAAAATGGGCAACAGTGATATTGCTAAGTAAATAATTTAATCTGTAATAGTCATATATTTATATTGCTAAATGGATTTTCCTTGTTGACATTATAAAAGTCATCCATTACCCCTAAATGTCTACTAAGTCTCAAAAATGTCTCTATTAACCCTCAAAAATTATTTTAATGATACAAAAGATCACATTTATGATTTCCCAAAGCTCTTCATCCAGCATTTGATTATTGTTCTTGACAAGAAGTAAAAGTTATAATTAAAGCCAGGTTCATACCTGTAATCCTAACTGCCGAGATCTGAGGATCACAGTTCGAAGCCAGCCTAGGCAGAAAAATCCCCGTAAGACTCTTATCTCCAACTAACCACTCAAAACCCTGAAGTGGTGCTAGCCTTGAGCAAAAGAGCTCAATGCAACAATGATACTCTGTTGACACTATGTTGGAAATGAACTATACAACTTGAGGGGGAAGGGAGTAAGGAGGGATAAGCAGGAAAAAAATGAGGGAGGGAGTAACAGTGTTTAAAAAGAAATGTACTCATTACCTTACTCATGTAACTACAACCCTCCTGTTCATCACCTTTACAATAAAGATATTTTTTAAAAAGAGAGAGTTTGTTCAAGGATAGCACCCAGGACCTGAGCTCAAGCTCCGTGACCAACAAAAAAATAAAATAAAGTTATAATTAAGAAAGAATTAAGTGAATGCAATATAATGCCATAGTCAACACAATTATATGTAATTAGTCATCACTCTTCTTTTTCTTTCTTTTCTTGTGGTACTGGAAATTGAACACAGTGTCTGGTACTTACTTGACTAGGATGGAGTTTTGAAAAGTTATGCCCAGGCTGATCTTAAACCCTGTGCCCTTTTTCTTGATTCTGCAGTAATGTTGACTATAGTATAGGAGGTTGTTTGAATAAAATGTTTAGATGGTGGGGTTTTTTTTCTCCAAGAGTATGGCACCCTAGTTCAATGATTTGAGAAAAATCAAATTTAACTTATGTCATATCTTTTGTGGAATTACATCTGCTATTAGAGAATATCCTCTCTATTGTAGCTAGAAAAACAGAAGATGTCACAATTTTTTTCTTCCTTCCCTGGTTTTTCCTATGTCTCTGATTTTACTCAGAAGCTAACTTTCTACAGAACAAATTTCCCTTCACACCATTCTATGACTTTGATCCCTCAGGTTCCTTTGTACAATATCCGTTTTAAGATACGAGTATACTCCCACCTCTCGCCACTAACCAGAATAAACTCTGGTGCAGTTTAGTAGCCCTTGAAAGCATTAAAGCCCTTCTGGAATGTTCTGAAACCTAAACTGCAAGTTCTATTCCATGATTGCAAAAAGAAAAAGAAATATCCAGTTATTGGTGTTATAGTATTTATATACTATACTATATAATATTAGTATTTATATGCTATTTTATTTATAGGAAGCTAAATTTTTTTCTGTGATGAACTTTCTTTCAAATGGGAAGTTTTGGTCAATTAAAATAATGAACTATAATAGAAATGCCTTTCCAGATTTAGTAAGCTTGCTTTCGTCGATAGAGAAAAGCATGCCAAAGGCATGTATTCTGGGACCAGCTAACACGCTCTTTTATGCCATCATCAGTGTGGCAAAAATGTTGCAGGAAATTCTTCTGTGTCTAAAGCAAGCAGGATGATCAAAATCAACATATCACTAATAATGTAGCCTTAGTACCTGAACATACGCCTCATTTCTTTTTATACCTTCCCTACACACCTACCTATGTATGTGTGAACAGAATACTTTTCCTCTAACCAGTAACTAGTTCATCAGGTTATTTCACCTGCTAGCTTCCTCCTGTCTCCTTCACACTCCGTGAGTGCTAGGACCAAATGATAACTCTGGCAGATAATAGACCACCATTTTCAACATATAACTTTCTTTTGCCATTTCTTAAAGTGTATCAAAGTAAAGCCATGGGCTAAGAAAAGCAAATAATCAGGAGTTTATTTTACTGAACTTTTTAAAAATGAAAAAAAAGAAAAAGGAAAAGCTAAATTTCCCTCATACCCAGGATGGAAAGATATAGGGAAATAGCTAAATGCAAATTTTTGTCTCAATTCTGTTCAAACTAGTCTGACAGAAGATGAGGTACAGAAGAAAAACATTAGCTTCACATTACTAGACGATATGACATACCATATATTTAGATCATTTCCTATGAAATGATTTCTGAATCAGGCCTCCTTTAAAAAAATTCTAGGATAACAAAAAGTTTAAGAATGACAGTGGGCCCTCCTACTCATCCTTTGTTTGGTATGCCTGACCATGGCATCGTTGTGCCCCTAAAGTACAGATCTGTTTGAATGGCAGAGCTCTTACCGATAATTAGTGGAACTTGGGCCAGATTGGCGGGACTTTTCTCCTCACAAGAGGACCTAGAAGGGTGAACAGTTGTCTTTAAAGCAGAAAATCAAAGTAAGAGAAGTCGATGACATCAATAAGGGGAAAGAAATTATGCTTTTAGAAGTTGCGAATCTTCTTTGCCCTTGAGATGGTATGCATCTGGAGTTCGTTGACAATTATCATAATTACTGTTAAGAAATGTGGAGTTATGTTCAGCTAGCATCTAGAAGTCCTAGAAAGAAGAAATAACTCCTTGGAGTTGATGGTAAAGGACTGAATTGTGGGACACCAAGACAACAAAATGCACTTTGGTTTTAGAAACACAAAAGCCATTGTTTTGGGATGTTGTTGGTGTTGTTTGTTTGTTTTCTGGAGCGAAGTTCTGAAATATAAGCAAAACAACAACAGACCTATGAAAAGCATAGGCAATTGAAGTTTGGAACCTGAAGCCCCAGTGTGATACCTTTGTTTACACAGCAGCTCCAGTAGTTCTGCCCTACAGAAGGGATCTAGGAAAGCAAAAGTACCAACAGGACAATTTGAAGCACATTTTAGGTACCATAAACATTCCAACCACTCTCCTGGGATCTATAAAGGCAGTTTGTTCTAAATGGTTTTCACGTCCACCCTGGAGAGCCCATTCACTCTTTCTGAAAAGACTCCTCTTTCATCTCTAGATATAGAAGCCTCCAACCAGCTCATGACTTTTAGAAGAAAGTATAACAGCATGAAAAGCAAAGGTTTTAAGTGAACTGTGCTCCTCCCCTCTCTGACCCCAGAGCTCCTGTTTAACATAGCAAGTGTACTTTTGCGAATGCTCTGCATGTTCTAATTTGAAAGGTGGGATAAGAAAACAGCTCCTCCTCCGGACACCAACTTGACCCTGTTTAATCACAGCAGTCAGAAACCAGTTCCCCTCCTCCCTCCTGCTACCCCTTTTGGACTGTCTAAAATGCCCTTGCTAGCTACAGTGTTTGCACATTTCCTTGTTAATCAGCTGCGTCGGCTGGGAGACTGTATGTTTTGGTGTTGTTTGTGTGCGCAATCTCGTGCTGCTTCCTGAACGCATGTGTCCCTTCCTTCACAGCCTACTCGACACCCAGCACCTCCCCCGCAAACCGATTCGTCAGTGTTGGACCACGGGATCCAAGCTTTGTAAATATCCCTCAACAGACACAGGTGGGCCGCTCTCATCTTTTCCGTATGTGATGCAGCTTGTATTATTCATCAGGTGCATTTTGTTAACTGGTCTCCAGGCACAGCAGGCCGCATGGCCCAGCCCCTTTTCCTCCTGACTCTGGTCCCCCACCAGCCCACCCTCCCCCCCCTCTCCCCTCCCCCCCCCAGCCCTTCAGCCACATTTCTCTGTATTCTCAAGGAATCCAAGCAAACACACCATCCGGTTTTGCTTGGGGTGCTGGGAGGGAGATCAGCCACTCCTCTGTGTTCATTATAGTTCCCCAGAAACCTGGCAAGCTTTCTAAAAGGAAGAGGTGGGGGGAAGGGTTTTTTGAGCCCTATTAAGTTGCTGTGAAGTTCCAGAAATAGGAGGCATTTAGAGGGGTGACTGCTGGCCTCTGGGAAACATGGAGAGGGTGGGCAGGGAATGAATAGGATGCATGTTTGAGAGAGGTGTGCAGAATGTCCACACCTCATTGGGACACACTGGGTAAATACGTTCAGGGCCTGGGACTATAGTTCAAGGAGAAAAGATCTTTCTTGAAAAACAGTTTCAGAGTGGCTGCTGAGAATTGAGAAGCAGTGAGCTTTTGTATTCCCAGGTACATGTGTAGAAGAATCTCAGGCTAGAATTAGGTTCAAGTTTTGATTTAAGAATAAACTATGCTCTGAGGGATTGGAACACGGCTCAGTGAGTAGAGCACTCGCCAGTGAACAAAGCCAGTGGCAGGTATGGAGTTTAAGTCCCAGTCTCGGACCTAAAAAAGAAATCTACTCCCTGATTTTCTAATTAGAATGGGATCCTATCTTATCCTAATTGATGCAAAGGAAAATATTTTCTCCATAAGGTTCTTAGCAAGGTGTTGGAAAAATTATTGAGTGGTTTAGGGCCTATACCTGGGTGTGTCATCCCTAGATGCCAAATTAGTAATTTGTTCATCAGTTTGTAAGGATGTGACCGGAATGGGGGCTAATGGATATAACATGCCTGCCTGCCTAGGTTCAAATGCTCCATCTTCACAGGGCTTTGCTTACAGCTCTGTGGACAGCACAGGCTGACCCACACTGACTCTGAAGATTCCCTTCACCCGAGCTGGGTCACAGGAACACAGCACTCCTGGAGCAGGGAGAGTCAAGGACGCAGAGAGGGCTGCCTCTTGGATTTCTCACTTCTGTTGTTTCTTCCTAAACTGGCTTGTACATAGTGTCCAGTATTAAAATCTCCTATTTCATTCCTCCCATAAACATCCAGTCATTTGCTTATTTTTTTTCCAATACTGTCAAAGATTCAGATATTTTCCTGGTGAGTTTGAAATTGCATCATCACCTTAAAACCATCTATGTTGAAAACAAACCAAAAGTTTAATGTTTTCCTTTGTTCTTTTATCCTCAGATTCTATGAAAAAGGACAATTGGGGCTGGTGCCTCTTTGTTGGGTGGTCACTTTATTTTCCCAAAGCTTGAGTTACTTTATTAAGAACCTTAAAAAATAGAACCTCTAGAATGGCCTGTTTGTACTTTACGGAATATTTTTATATAAGCTGTGACTCAGAACATTGAAATTGTACCCTATGTTCCATTCAGCTCATTTCCTCTACAGTCAAAACGTGTTATAGTCCAATATCTCTTTGTCTCACAAATGCCTTATTTAACCCAGGGACTCGGTCTTCATGAGGCTGACCACAAAAATTCAATTCTTAAAAATCCAAATTTTCCACGCATCTGGTTGGATGATGTCATATAAACTCAGTATTGGCATCTGGAACTAAAGTCCTTTGGTTTGCATTAAATATTTGGCATTACAGAGACAACAGCTTAGATGTTTCTTTAAAAAAAAAAACTGACACCTGCCACATTTGGCTTGAAGAAAGCTATTCCTAATTATCTTATGAGAAACTTTGCTAATGGAGTTGTCATTTGTTCATACATGTGAATATGTGTGCAGGTGTGCATGCCTTGAGATAAAAATTGTGCACTCTAAATATTTCAATGTGTACATGTTAACTTTTTTGAAAAGAAACTACTTTCTAGAACAATACAATAATTATCAATAGACCTAAATGCAGGCTCCCTCTCAGGGAGACATTGCCTAAAAGAGGGAAAGTTTGACAGGAATTCTCCAAAACATAATTGAAACAGAGTCTGCAGCTTAATTATTGCATTTTCTATGTTGATATAATCGTTACAAAGCCAGAAATATGTATTTACTGAAATATAGGAAAAGGTTTTTCTGGGAAAGCAGAATTTTGCTTTCTACCTCTGGTAAACCCAAGCAGATTTTTGAGCTTTCTCAGTGCAGAAGAGGTATCCTCTACTTAAGTCTGTGAATAAATGTAAGCTAAAAATCTGTCCCTCAAAGATATGTTCCCATTGGAAGTGTCTCAAAATACTCAAAGCATCATCCTATAGAAGATGGATTAGAGGTAATCCGGTTTTATTTCCTAGAGGGTATAAACCTATATATATATATATATATATATATATATATGGATACATACATATATATGTATATATACATATGTATGGGTGTGTGTGTGTGTGTGTGTAGGTTTTTAACTTACAGAAAGAATGTCCTGAAGAAAAATGAGTTACTTGATTGCATGCTGCCTCTATTTATTGAGTGTTTCCTACATGCTACATATTTTAGGACATTACCTGGCTACTCTTTATAACTACCCCAATGCAAGAGATATAATTGTCTCCACTTTACAGATGTGGAAATCAACACCAAAAGACCTGGTTGATTTTTTTTCCAAGGACATCAGACTGTAAGGAGTGAAAATTAAATACTGAGTTCTCTGTGATGGCAAAGCCTATACTCTCTAAGCATTCTAACTGTACTGCTCCCTGGACATATCCAGAGACTGGTGTTTAATTCTCAAGAATACTATAGCATCTTCCTGCTTTTATATCTGAAATCACATTAAAATCTTATCATTAACACCTATCCAAGTTTCAAAGGGATACTTGTACAATCCAAGTGTCTATCAGCACACAGATCACTAAATAAAATACAGTTGCCATATATAGTGGAATAGCCTTCCTCCTTAGAAAGGAAGAGAATTCTGATCCATGCCTCAGCATAGATGAGTCCTGATGACATTACAATATGTACAGTAAGTCATAGATAAATGTTGTATGATTCTGCTTACCTGAGATACCCAAAACTGCCAAATTGATAGAAACAGGAAATGGAGGTGTGGTTCAAGGGGGAGAGCACCAACCTTGAGCATAAAGAAAGAAAGAATATGAGGCCCTGAGTTCAAACCCCAGCATTGGCATGATAGAAAGAAAGAAAGAAAGAAAGAAGAAAGGAAGGAAGGATAGAAATAGAAAGTTGCCAGTGGTCAAGGGGAGGGTAGTATGTGGGAGGGTTTTTGAGATGATGGTGATGGTGTTCACACCACAGTGAGTGTCCCCGGTACCTCTGAACTGTACATTCAAAATGTTGTTCAGATGATCAATCTGTGCATCTCACCACCATTTAAAAAGTGTAATCAAGCCGGGCACTGGTGGCTCACACCTGTAATCCTAGCTACTCAGGAGGCTGAGATCTGAGGATCGCGGTTCAAAGCCAGCCCGGGCAGGAGGGACCGTGAGACTCCTATCTCCAATAAACCACCAGAAAACCGTAAGTGGCGCTGTAGCTCAAGTGGTAGAGTGCTCGCCTTGAGCTGAAGAGCTGAGGGACAGCGCCCAGGCCCAGAGTTCAAGCCCCACGACCGACCAAAAAAAAAAAAAAAAAGTGTAATCATTAGCGTAATTAAAGGCCCTTTACCCTCTCAAGAGGATAAACTACTACATTCTCCTGCCAGGCACGTAATAGGTACTCTACACACAGAGAGTGAATTTAATTTACAAAGAAGTTTTTAAATGATGGCTTTTTCCTATTACAGAACTGAAACATATTAACTATGGAAAGTACAGATGAGAAAAATAATAAAAATCACTTGTAGCCCTACTGCTAACATTTCCTTATAAATCCATCCCGACTGTTTCTACACATACAAATAAAATTGCAAAATGAGATCATATTATATACACTGTTCGGTAACCTGCTGTTTCTTCCCCTTACCAGTACATTATGGCTTTCTTTCCATGTAAATTGGAAAAATTGAATATTGGCTTTTATTGCACCTATTCATCATCTGTAATGATTGGTAGGGAGAGATAACAAGGGTAATTGAAAGCCATTTTTCCTTCCTTCCCTTCCAGTCTGGTTTTCTTTTTTTCTCCAGAGAATTTCTCCTTCTGCTGAAGCAAACTTGCATCCTCCTTAGATTTGTGGTGAGCTACTTTCCTCTCTCCTGCCTTCCAATTGTATTCGGGAAGTCTCATCCTTCTTTTGGACAGTGCTTAAATCCTTCTGCAAACTACCTGTCCTTTTCTTCTGCCTCCAGCCCCCTCCATTTTGCAGGCTCTTCTCCTTTACATGAGGAGCACCTGTGGACAGCCACCTGTTCAGAGAAACCAGCACTCACTCCACGCTTCACCTCTTATTTTTCAGTAATATCCCAGGCCAGTGAAAATTAACATAAAGAAACGTCTCTAAGCATAAAGTGTTTACATCACTTGGGACACTGTTACCATTGTCTCAAATACCAGAATGCCAATGAACATATCTGTTTCATCCCATGATTTAATCTTGTTTCTGGAAACGAGAGCCATTAAAAGAAAAGGGGTTTGCTTAGAGGAAGGGGAAGTAAAGTTAATGTTTCATCATCAGCTAGTAAATAGAAATGCTAGTCCTGACACAGGAGAAGTAAAAAAGGAACTGATTTTTGATTCAGGCACTAGTGTAATCAGAATGTTCAAATAAAACTGCTTAACCTGCGGAACTCCAATGAGGACTAATTCTTGAAAATGAAAAATGAGTGCAAACAATATTTAAAATAGGCATTTCCTCCCTACCACCCAAATCTACCATTGTTCGCATGAACAGGATCGTGGTGGTGTCTGAAATGCTGTTTAAAATGAAATTACCATTTGGGCTATTAGAA